ACTCGAAATGGTCGTTAAGTAGGGACGTTCATAAGTCGAGGCACCACTGTAGTTCAACTGGAATGCCATCACCTCCACTGGCCTTCTTGTTAGCCATGCTTTCTAAGGCCTACTTGACTTCACTCTCCAGGATGTCTGGCTCAAGGTCAGCAACCACAATCCAGGCCATCCAGATCTTTCTGGTATAATTCCTCTCTGTATTCTTGCCACCTCTTCTTGACGTCTTCTGCTTCTGTTAGGTCCCTCCCATTTTTGTCCTTTATCATGTCCATCTTTGTACAAAACGTTCCTCTAATATCTCCAATTTTCCTGAACAGATCTCTGGTTTTTCCTTTTCTATTATTTTCCTCTATTTCTTTACATTGTTCATTTAAGAAGGCCCTCTTGTCTCTCCTTGCTATTCTTTGGAAGTCTGCATTCAATTTTCTGTAACTTTCCCTATCTCCCTTGCATTTTGTTTCCCTTCTCTTCTCTGCTATTTGTAAGGCATCATTCGACAGCCACTTTGCTTTCTTGCATTTCCTTTTCTTTGGGATGGTTTTTGTTGCTGCCTCCTGTACAATGTTACGAGCCTCTATCCAAAGTTCTTCAGGCACTCTGTCCACCAAATCTAGATCCTTAAATCTGTTCTTCACTTCCACTGTGTATTCATAAGGGATTTGGTTTAGATTATACCTGACTAGCCCAGTGGTTTTTCCTATCTGCCATTTGCCTCTCTAATACGTTCTAAGGGAGGTTAGAACCATAGTTACAGGTTGTCTTAAGAAGGTAATAAGAGAGGAAATCCACAGTTTGTCATGTTCATCTCTTAACAATTCCCTTCATACCTTGATCATTTCTTTCATTAAAATTTTGATGTATGCTCTCAGTATTGTCTTGGTTCTAATATTCTGGAAAGTGATGTTGTGAAAAATGTTATATACATAATAAAATTGTCAATAATTGTCCTGTAGGGAAGAGAATGAGAATTGTAATAAAACTAAGAGATATTAATTTGAGGCAGGACATTTTTTGCAGCACATCTACTACTGGTTGTTGGTAATGAAGTATTTGGTTGTTGCTGTAGTCTTCTGTGACCTTCAGAGCAAACAGCACAATGAAATTGAAATTGTGCAAGAAAATATATAGTGCAGATAAAATACATTTAGTCTGTGCTTTCAGAGGAAAGCATGTCTTACATCGCTTCATTTTAAAAAATCAGCAAGGAATAGTGCAAAAAGTGAAGTCTCCTCTTTAGCTTGTAAAAACCTCTGTACTAGATTGGTAGATTGCACTGTGAATGTCTAAATGCAAGTTGTTCACAGCAAGAATAAATAAATAATCCAAAATGAAACAGGACCACCAACAAATACAGAGATGGTGTTGAAAGCTTCTGAAGAACTTGAAAGCCTAATGGATTAATTCAAAGGAAAGTTGAAATAGCTATAGGTAAGCATGTATGGGTTTCTGTTCATGGAGTTTTCTTGGCAAAGATACTGGAGTGGCTTGCCAGTTCCAGGGGGACCATGTTTAATCCAAACTCTCCACTATGACCTGTCCATCTTGGGTGTCCCTGCACGGCATAGCCCTTAGCTTCTCTGAATTACTCAAGCTCCTTCGCCACGACAAGGCAGTGTTCCATGATGGCTATCTTTCTATTTACTTCCAATTACCATTTTGGTACAATATTGCCTCATTAAAAACTAACAATACAATATCTGTATTGTTTTGTATCTGTATATGGGAACCACAAAATGCAGCATTCACACCAGAATCAAAGAATATATGAGACAATGCAGACTAAAACAACTGGAAAAATCAGCAGTAGCTGAACATGCCCTAAAACAAGCTGGACATGAAATTCTATTTCAAAATACTGAAGTACTGGACAACACCAGCAATCATTATGTTAGGTTGCACAGGGAAGCCACTGAAATCCACAAACACCAGCAGAGCTTCAACAAAAAGAAGGATGTTTAAAACTCAACAAAACCTGGCTCCCAGCACTGAAAAATACCGCCTGCAAAAGGTCAACAAACTCTACCCAGCCACAAGGATCAGTGATCACTGGTTGCAGCATATTTTCATTCAGGTTTTGCTTTGTGCAATATCAAAACTTCTGCACCAAATTTTCAACATGACACTGAAGTACAAGTTACGGATGAAACATTCACAGACAGTAAATAGCAGCCTATGCCGAACACTAGAAAACTAACATAGAACAAAATCCTACTTGCCAGATGCATAAGTGAAACTGTGCCTCTTGCACAATTGGGCAATGTGACTGATTGTTGTTGTTTAGTCATTAAGTCGTGTCCAACTCTTCGTGACCCCATGGGCCAGAGCACGCCAGGCCCTCCTGTCTTCCGCTGCCTCCCAGTTTGGTCAAATTCATGTAGGTAGCTTCGATGACACTGTCCATCTATCTTGTCCTCTGTCGTCCCCTTCTCCTCTTGCCCTCACACTTTCCCAACATCAGGGTCTTTTCCAGGGAGTCTTCTCATGAGATGGCTAAAGTACTGGAGCCTCAGCTTCAGGATCTGTCCTTCCAATGTGACTGATACCTCATTAATTAATAGAAATTCACTTTTGTGACTTATGCAGTTTCACTTACATATGTGTAGCCACAATATATCTAAATATTTAAAGCAAATGGATCAGATCCCACAAAGCTACTCCTGATCTGCTATTGCTAAAAGATAGATGATAAATCTATCAGAAGATTGCAGAAAACATGTTGAAATATTATTACCAGGCTGCAGAGGGTTCTGATAGAAATAATGTAACTAGTGAGGCTACTAATAGCCCATTAAAATATAGCAAGACATTTTCAAGTTGTAGCATGTTCTAGAGACTGTTAAGGAAGACGAATGTTCTGAAATAATAGCTCCATTATGTTCTATGGACTGTCCAAGTTCTGGAATAAAGGGCACTTAGCAACCATAAGGAAACTGGCTTTCAGATCACAGAAGGCAGAGAGGGAAAGAGCCTGAGCAGATATTACATTTCAATATTGTGTCCTCATAGTAAGGTGTTAGCAGTCTTGTAGAGAGCTAAAATGTTTCCAGTCTCAAGAAATCAACATCAAATATTTAAGTGTCCTGATACCTAGTACTTTTCCAATCATTCTTGGGACAAAGCAACTGCCTATTTTTTAAATCATCCCCTATTCTACAAAAAGGAGACATGTCTTTCATAAAGAGACAAGTCAAACAAATATTTTATCTGTGTTTGATAAACTTTTCCAAATATTACATACTTTCAGTACCTTGACTAAAGGGAGTCAAACTCTCTCCCTTCTATCAATTCACCTTCTTAAAAGGGAGGGAGCTTCTTAGAAATACAGTATATGGACAGTACTAAATTAGACACTTTGACTTCAACAAGGTGGTTTCTGTTGTTGTTTACTGAATATCAGAGCCAATTCTGGAGTAGAAGAGTCTTGAAAACTTGTTAACAATGGTCATTACTTTCTTTCGCAACCAGAAGCTAATTATTACAGTCATCAACTTGCCAATCTAAACAATCCAGTCACAGCATCCACTCTTAGCAGCAATCACTGGGGGATGGGGTTATGGGGGGGAATCATGTGAGCATGCAGTATAACCATGTATTACCAGCTCTGCTATTACCTATTATTGCTACTCCCCTGCTTTTTGCCAAGACACTGAGCAGCAATTATGGCCAGAAACAGTAAGTACTACTGCTTGTTCTGCTGACTTTTCTTTCTTGGCCTGCAGCTGCTAATGGAAACCTTCACTATTTGTGTGCAGCCAAATAGCACTTCTGCTTCTCTATCACATAGCACCATCCCAGACAGTGATACAGATGTGCCTATGAAGTCATGTACCCACCCTTATATATATTTAAATGCATATGGTGACTTTCTTAACAGAAAAGCATAATTAAATCTCTGAGGACTACTCACCACTGCTACAAATGCAAGTGACAGTGCTGACTAGGACCACACACTGCTTGTCAGGTACTTGCAACAGTCATGGGCAGGTAAGAAAACAAGCATGTGCCACATTTCTCTAGCAGGGGGAAGGAAAGTAGCCTAGGGTTGGGTAAGGGTGAGCCATTTACTTAAATTAAATGCTCTCAAAAGAAGCTACTGCTATGGCTGGCCACTCCTGTCACCCACCTCTGTCCTGCCCTCTTCCTGTTCTAGCACTACCACCAACAATAACATTTCCCCTCTTTTTAAGAGTTTCAACCTACACTTCCCTCAATCCGGATGCATCTACACTTGCCTCAGCGGCAACTCCACCAGAGAAGCAGTCGCCCTTCCTAAAATAATGCCAAGAGGGAAATCAAGTCGGCAATCCCCGCAACCAGGCACCCAAACGACAAGCAAAGCAGCAACCGGCCGCAAGAAGTAACTAAGAGTTACCGTCTCTTCCTCAATCTGACGAGTGCTATATTTCCCATCAGACTTCACTCTCGCCCATCAGGTGTATGGCTGGCCGGTGATGATGGCAAACGACAGTTTTCACCGCCCAGGGCCTGTACCCGAGACGCAAGGCTGGGGGCGGTCTGAGACAAAAGCAAATGAGGACCCTAAATGAACGGGGGTGGGGAGGGAAGGCAGCAACTGCTAATGACGTTTCACAAGGGCTGAAAGGCTGTCGCGACCAGCGCACGCAGGACCGGTAGCTACCTTCCCAAGACACAGGGCCTAACCCAAGGCAAGCCGCAGGGGCGACTCTACGGCCAACTCGGAGACCAGCGGGGACCTTGCGGCCGCCCCCGCTTCCTTAACGCCACCACTCTGCCCCCTCCCCGGGCACCGAGCCCATCCTACGGGCCATTGTATCCATAGCAGGCGGGTGAATCATGCCACAGAGCCTGTGGAGACCAACAGCAACGAAACAAACAAGATGAAAGCACTGACTAAATGGAGGCTGACCGCCTCACCCCCAACGGCCCTGCTCCACGCCCCGAACCTCCGCCGAAGCCCCGGCCTACCACCTTCATATGGTCGCTAAGGCAATTTGACACAAACGAACGGGGGCATTTACCTGGGCCGCGCGGTAAGGCAGCGCTTGGGCCGCTTCTCAGCAGGGTTTGAAATCACTAACGCAGGCCACACCTCTCAATATCTTCGGTCCTCATTGGTTGCCTCTAAGCCCGCCCGCCTTTCCGCAATATGGAATGTTATTGGGCCGTTTGAATCTGGCCGTGGCGACTCCGTTCCTACAAGATGTGGGAGGGCGGTTTTCAGGACTAACCGGTCTGGGAGGCGCGCGCGGTCTGCTTCGCGTGTTCCCTCAGCAGCGCACTCGTCCCTTTGGGCAAGCGCCGCGGGGCTGTGGGGATGGAGAGCGTTCGGTCGTCGGGACTGAGAACGGGAGGCAGGGAGCCCCCAGGCAGGGTTGAGTCTCTTAAATGAGAGCGCGGGGGAGTCTCACGCCTTGCCTTGGTCTAACCACGTCTCTCTCCTTTATCCACCGTCAGCCAAAAAAGTGTTGTGTTTTCTTCTCTTTCTTTTTATTTTATTTTAACTATAACATAAACATAAAATACATAAACCCAAATACGAATTGTGTTCCCCACCGCCATAGATGGGACCTCTTACAATAAACTTCCTCGATGGATATTCTTATTTTATTGTTCTCCAGAACTGCATTGATTCTTGATTCAGAGCTTTCCATTTTCCTCTTGTTAACACATATTCCAAAAATCTGCCGCATAAGTGCTGTGTTTTTTGACATGGGAAGGACACCATAGAAACATTTTTGTCTGCTTTTTGCGCAATCCTTGGTACTAATGTTATCTTAGCATTTCGTATTATTGTAGTTTCTAAATAGCTCTCTCTGTTAGTCTGTCATAGCATGTTGGTAACATTAAAGGAGTGGGGGAAAGCACAAAATATTCTTGCACTTTAAAGCCCAACAAAATTCTTTCAGTGTAAGGTTTTGTGAAATTAAAAAGAAAAAATTTTCAGACATTTCTACCTTTGTGGGACTTACTTCATTAATTATGGCATACAGTGATTGTTCTGGGTTTTTTGGGCTCTGGACGTGTTCTGAAGGTTGTTCTTCCTAACGTTTCATCAGTCTCTGTGGCTGGCATCTTCAGAGGAGAGCAACCTGTACTCTGGTGTAGTTGGCTTGTGAGTGCAGTATTTATGGCTGTGAGATAGGCTTTTGTCTTTTCCTGTAGATGGGTGATTAATGTGTATTGTTGTGGGTGTATTGTTGTGCTAAGGGGAAGAGATTATCTGTTCCTGTGGTTGATGGGTGTCATTAGCTGGTCTTTTGTGTGTAGTGATCCCCTGTCCTTGTGGGTGGGTAGAGTTCGTTGACCTTTTGCACCTAGTATGTTTGATAGCTGGGAGCCAAGTTTTGTTGAGCTTCATACTTTCCTCTTTTTTGTTGAAACTGTGCTTGTGCTTGTGGATTTCATTGGCTTCCCTATGCAGTCTGACGTAATGATTGCTGGTGTTGTCCAGTATTTCAGTATTTTGAAATAGAATTTCATGTCCAGTTTGTTTCAGGGCATGTTCAGCTACTGCAGATTTTTCTGGTTGTTTTATTTATTTGTTTGTTTGTTTAATTTATACCCCGCCTATCTGGCCCACCGGACCACTCGAGGCGGCTTCCAAATATAAAATCAAATAATAAAACATAGACAAATACATAATAATCAAACAAGAACAGCAGTAAAAATAAAAAGGAAAAGTAAGAAAAAATCAAGAGTTGGCTGGAGGGAAGGCCTGAATAAACAGCCATGTTTTAGTCTGCAGTGTCTCTCATGTTCTTTGATTCTGGTGTGGATGCTTCGTTTTATGGTTCCAAATGGCTAAAGAGCCCGAAAAACCCAGAACAACCATTAGATCCCGGCCGTGAAAGCCTTCGCGAATATATGGCATACAGCTTCGAATATTTCATAGATGGAAAGAACACAAAGTTGACAATCCTGTGCCCTTCCAGCTGTTCACAAACTTGTTATGCATCCAACTTACAGTGGTGGTTTTTAAGGTACAGTATGTGAGATTTAAGGAATGGTGTTATCAGTGAGTTTCCATGGCCAAGTGGGAATTATAACCGAGGTCTTCTGAGTTATAGTCTACCACTTTTACCCACTGCACCACACAGGTTCTCATTCCTCTCCATACTATGCTACAGCGATCTCATTGATTACCAGCATTGGCTAGGTGTCTGAGAATTGGGTTCCAGCATCTGGACAGCCATCATTTCTAGCCCTGATCTAAAATCTGGTTGTTCAAAGTCCTGGGCTTATGGCATGGCCTAATAAACAATGGAGCAAAGGAGGGAAGTTTGACCTGTTCCAAGTAATGAACACTGGAGCAATCATTATAACAGATAACAAGCAAATAACAGCAAAGCTTTTCCATCCCCCAGTGTTAAAAGGTGATATGAATAAATCTCTCACTAGTTCCAATACTCACAAGATGTACAGGTTCAGTTGTCTGTTCTTCTCCTGCAGCATATCCTCCAAGCCCCTTTCACAGTTATGGAACTGCTGTTCCATGTACGCATGAACAACAACAAACACCCAAATGCATTTTTTAGGAAAGGAAGAAATTTAAAGGGGAAAGAGAGGAGAGTGAACTAAAATAGAGTTCCCTGTCGTCATCGTCGTTTAGTCGTGTCCGACCATCACACTTACATCAAGGTCTTTTCCAAGGAGTCTTCTCATGAGATGGCCAAAGTACTGGAGCCTCAGCTTCAGGATCTGTCCTTCCAGTGAGCACTCAGGTTTGATTTCCTTTAGAATAGAATTGATTGTTCTCCTTGCAGTCCAGGGGACTCTCAAGAGCCTCCTCCAGCACCACAATTCAAAGGCATCAATTATTCGGCGGTCAGCTTTCTTTATGGTCCAGCTCTCACTTCCATACATCACTACAGGAAAAACCATAGCTTTGACTATTCGGACTTTTGTTGGCAAGGTGATGTCTCTGCTTTTTAAGATGCTGTCAAGGTTTGTCGTCGCTTTCCTCCCAAGAAGCAGGTGTCTTTTAATTTCGTGGCTGCTGTCACCATCTGCAGTGATCATGGAGCCCAAGAAAGTAAAATCTGTCACTGCCTCCATATCTTCCCATTCGATTTCCCAGGAGGTAATGGGACCAGCGGCCATGATCTTAGTTTTTTTGATGTTGAGTTTCAGTCTGTTTTTTGCACTCTCCTCTTTCACCCTCATTACAAGGTTCTTTAGTTCCTCCTCACTTTC